CTCTCTCTCTCTCTCTCTCTCTCTCCTCTCTCTCTCTCTCTCTCTCTCTCTCTCTCTCTCTCTCTCTCTCTCTCTCTCTCTCTCTCTCTCTCTCTAGGATCTAACCCTGAATACACCTGCTTTTTTGTCTCGTGAACCTTGGGCGGCTATGGCCGCTGTCTTCCTACTCCCTACTACTCTAGCAATGGCCGACTTTCCTAGCCAGGGCGCTTGCTTCTTCCCCCGGCGCTTGTCCTCTGTCCAGGTCGCACTATCGGACAAGCAACTGGCAAGGAATTGCCAAACCTGTCAAAAACTCTTTATAAAGGAATTGCTAAACCACCCTAAGAGGACCTATACACCGTACACACAGTACTCAGAAGAGCATGGTTTCCCAGTCCGGGAATGCAGACGTCGGCAGTTCTCAATCTAATGCCTGATAGCTCAGAATTCAACCACTGAAACTACTGTCTTCCCCCGAATAGAACGTACGGTGATTATAGCTGTATTTGGGGTGACTTTCAGTCTAGATACAGTGGTAATGACTGTACTATTCGGGGGAAGATGGTAATAGGTCATGGCACAGCTCATTTTTTCCATCATTGCTTGCTGCATCCTGCAGCATTGTCCATAGTAGTCTCACTGTTTTTTTTTTTTTTTTTTTAATTCAAAAAGGGCAACAGCCGTGAGATATCATCTTTGACTGACGCCCCCCCCCCCCAGGTGACTTCAGAGTTGTTTTACTCATCCGATTCCAGAGTGATTTGAACTCGGTCTGTGTTTCAACAGGTCAGTGGTGTACCAACTGCACTACATGGTCTAGATTAGTTTGGCGTGGAGGAGAATGGTGTGGGCTTCCTCTCCCTATTTAGTGAGCACTGAGCATTGTCCTTCTTTGTCTGCCAATTACACGAGTTGATGGGTGGTGGGTGGATAGGCTGGACTCGATATTCCATCCTTTTTTTCCATCGTCCCTTTTCCATTTCTCCGACTTCCAGCTGAGCGTCGGCATGTGAAGGTCCCTATTTAGTGAGCACTGAGCATTGTC